CTTATCAACAAGGCTGTCTCACCCCGCATGTACGTGTAAAGCTGAGCTTTTCTGATCGAGTAGCGAAACTGGCCTATGCCGGCCTATGCATACCGTTGATATGGAGTTTGAAAGAACGAGTGAGTATATATTTACAAGGGGGAATAAACGCATGGAATGAGCGGGCTACTTACTTATGGCCACCTTAAAGGTGAGACTAACGTGCTCGTTCTGAAGGGAAGAGCGTTACGTAGCCTCTGAGTTTGAACCAAAAGAGAACCGGGACGCAAAGTTTTATTTATTACTTGGCTGTGAACGAAGCGTCCGATATAGCCGAAAACTAACTAGCTAAGTAGTAAACCGGGACCAGACCCTGCATGACTGTGGCGCGTGCATTAACATTGGAACTATCCAACAGTTTGGTGAAGGTAGTAGGTTGGCTGCCACGGGAACATTTCAGCAACTCATAATGATACAGTGGGTTCGACGCTGTTCGACGGAGAAGTAATGAGCCGGGCTAGAACAGGGCCTGCAGGACGGTGGCGGGTCACGGTGCACTCTTGCGCTGTTTAGTAAGTTAGTAAGTACTTACTGAATCCAGCTGTCCAGTGAGATTGTTCATCAGTAAGCGGTGGGAAATGGGCGACTGTCACTGATGAGGATTCAAAAGCTGAGTCAAGGTCCTGCACGACGGTGGCGTATGAGTATCAAGCAAGGATTAAGTGAGATGGTTGTAAGGGGAAGTACTTACAAAAGCTGTAGAATAAACCGGCCGGGTCCTCCATGACGGTGGCGCGTGGATTGAAACCATCGAACATGTCACGTAAGTAGGTATCGATAACATCCTGGAAGAGCTGTAAATGCTTCAATTATTACATAGAGCCTGCCAGAAATCAAGCCAAAAGAAATTGCCGTGCGATATACTGTGACTGTAGATAGACAAAATACCCCTTCACATTGTAAAGGCCCCGATACTTAACTTGTACTTAACTCTCCTGGGCGCTTCGCTGAGCAGTCTGCACACGGTAAACCCGAGGGATGATCGATGATGATCACTGTCGTCAAAGTTCTAGGCTTTCGTGACGAAGGACAATGTCAATAACTGCGCAACAATCTAAATACATAGATAACTAGGCATAAGATGCATGAAATGGTATACTAGGGGGGGGGGAAGGGCACCAGGGAAAACTAAGTCTGCTTTGGGACGTATCCATGCTGTGACCCATGGCTATTGCAGGATCTTCCTCGTCGATCCTCTCTCAACAAACAAGCAAAATCCCACACAACTGGATAGTGAGCCCAGCGCACCAATGCTGGTCTATCGAATTAAGTTCCTATACTAGATGGACGAGGAACCAAGGGATCTGGAGTAAACGAAGTGAAGGTAAGGAATGCACTGAAAATTCGAACCAGCACTCACCCCACATAGTCCAAATATATTCTCCTTTACCATTCTTGATAAAGACATTCCTGATCACGACATCCTTCTTTGGCGGTGGCGCAACCGACGTGGTCCCACTGTTTGGGATGTTTGGAAGATAGATCAACATCGTACAATGTTCTTTCGGTTTCAACTGGCACGGTTCCGGCCCTCTCATCTCAACCGTCACCCATCCATTTTCCATCTTTGGGGATTCGGAAGTTGATGATGTCTTATGCTCAAAGTTCCATCGTAACAAGTTCTGTGGTATTGAAATTCCCAGTGCGATGCGATATTCCTTCACTACAGAGCGTATGGCTGAGAATAGGATGGGGAATTTTTTGGTGTGTACGAGAACTTCTGGATATGTGATCTTAATCTCCGGGCTATCACGGGCCCTAAGCGTGCTCTTGTCCTAGATAGTATACTGGTAAACCCCTGAAACCTCTTTCAGATTGTTATGGGGACTCACATTCAGAGGCAGCCCAAGGCCGCCTGAAATAAGACCAAAGAATAGACACGTGGAGATGAAAGCAAAACGCATAGTGGTGCAGGCAGTGGGGAGGGATTGGAAGACTCTGCGTAGACGACTTCAAGTTGAATGAGTGCGGGAGGACTGAGGTTGATCTTTGACCAGCAAAGACAAACGGGAAATACAGATGGGGAGCTCGACCAGCGGGGAGTAGAGATCTGAGCATAGTACACATCATTTTATACCAGCTTATCCTCTTTTATCCTCTCTTATCGTGTAAGTATAGCATATATTCACCCGTGAGCAAACTGGGAAAAGTAGAGGCGCGGCTGATGGTATGGCTGTTATTTCAAAATTTCCGTACCGAGCAATTCATTTCCTTCCGACTTCCTTCGGTACATCAATGATGGACGCAAGATGGAAGGAAGGAAGGAAGGGGAAGGAAGTTGATAAAAATTACCATCCGCAAAGCATAAGTACTATCGAAAAATAGAACAACTCTGGGATGGTTCCAGTGTCATAACTACGGTCCAGTTTCTATTATTCTTGGCTGCAGCGCAACTGCAACGCCAAATCGAGAATATCATTGGTTGGACTGATCAAAGCCTGAGGTATGGAACGTATAGAACGTATAGGTGGTGCAGAGTCCAGACACTCATGCGTATGTATATCTCTCTCAGCTTGCTGCGCCATGACTGATGGAAACTACTGTGTACAATCAGCAAACCCCGGTTTGCAAACATGGAGGAAGGAAGGAAGGAAGGAAGTGAATTACTCGGCATAGTCCAAGATCTGAACGCCGGGGCAGGAAATGGTGTGATCGATACACGAAATTGGGCACGTTGATCATGAATCTACTGTAACGTGCGGGGATTATTGGGTGCGAGTAAGTGTGGGCGTGTGCGGCGGTAAGTACGAGCAAACCGAGCAGCTGCGACGCGTGATACCACAGGGTTTTTTTATAATAAACCTGAGGACCGACTCGTATTCTTTAATCCTACTGGGTCACGGGTAGTCTGCGTGGAGCCTGTAGTATAATGGCGATGGTCTAGATTGTTGAGACTACTAGGGCGTTTGGTGACGGAGTACAATGTTAATTAGCTCAGAAGCGCGTTATCCTGAGTTGATCATGAGCAGTAAACACCATCCGTGATACTCGAGCTCAAGTTATGACGATCCGAGGGATCCTCGGATATGGGTAGATTTCGGAAGGTTTACCTCTTAGCCTCACTTGCGTTGGTTTCGTTTTAACTTGGCAAACGCGTCTTGAGCGAACGATTTTATTTTCTCGTGAATTCTGGTTTGAGACTACGCCGTCTGATGCATTGCACGCGTTATGATCAGATCGATAATCTTTAATCTATATCCCTAGTCTCTGTTATACAGATCGGCTCTATATAATCAGTTGATTCTTAAAGACGAAGGCTTAACCGTGGTCTCTGGGGAAAACAAAGTAGAGGTATTTTTAAGGAACGCATCGAACACTCGAAACAGCACTCACCCGATTTTGTAACAATGGTCCTTCCTGTCGCATCCTTGATCATGACATTCTCTGTGGGTTTCTTCAGATAGACCAGCATTTCACAATGATCTTTCAAATCTTTTCCCTGGGACAGTTTCGGTGGTCGGCACGGTTCCGGCCCTGTTATCTGAGCTGTTATCCACCCTTTCTGCTTCTGTACGGAAGGTGGTGGCAATGTTTTCATAGGCACGATTTTCCAATTTTCCCCAATGAGCAGGTTCACGCGATATTCGTCCAGTACGGAGTGCATGACTGAATACATCTTGCTTTCGAGGTGTTCGAGAGCCTTTGGATATGTGATATGAATCTCCAGGGGATCAGGGGCCCTACGCGTTATCTCGTTCTAGACGTATTGGTGAACCCCGAAAACCTCTTTCGGATTGTTATGGGGACTCACATTCACAGGCAACGCGAAGGTAGCTGGAATAAGACCAAAGAACAGGCATGCGGAGATGCAACCAAAACGCATAGTGGAGCTGGCAGCGGGGAGGGATTGGAAGAGTGCGTATAGACGAGTGACCTGAATGAGTCCGGAGGGATTAAAACTTTAGTTGTCGATCTTTGGCCAGCAAAGAGTAACGGGAAATATAGATGGGGAGCTCGACCAGCGGGGCGTAAGAACCTGGAGACCGCACTCATTGTTTTATATTATCCTGAGCATATGTTGCGGGACTCCCCCACATGACACTTCTCCACTCGAGACGTGGAAATGCAATGTGGGGGTATATACGGCACCTCTTCATTAGGTCCCGTGTGTTTGAGGGCGAGTTTCACGGTAGGATAATACTTTTCTCCAGTTTTTTCTCCCTTCCGACGTTTCTCCAGTGTTTTTCCTACTTCCGATAGGCGGTACCTCATTCATCTTCCTATTTCGAAACTTGTGCTTCTATGGCCCTCAGTCGCTGTACATGCGCTCGTGTGTACCGTTGAGGGCACTTGTGCGCTTGTACCTATCTAGATAAGAAAGTTCACAGGTACCACGACACACAGAAACTACTGTCAATAAGCAAACCTGGATTTTGCTCTAGTCAGGAAAAGTATACCGCGATTAAGACCGGAAATTTCCGGAAGGCCGCTGTACACTGTACACCGCCAGCGGATCCAGCTCACTGATGAAGTCGCTTAATTAAGTTACTGTAATCAATCGATGGTACGGACTGATACGGACTCACTACGAAGGCGGGAGTCCGACTCCTGAGTGGCTGGTCTCATCGAAGAGCCTTGGAATTACTTATAATTATATCTTTCGAGTGCATACTCAATAAGCTACTTGAACGTTCTCGCTCATAGAACTCTTCGTGACGTCGTCGAATTGAGCGTTAATTCTGGTGTCATCTCTGATAGTTGATTCTTCCTATTCTGCATATGGTACATTGACGGACTCGTTATGGATTGACGATCTGTACGGTAGGCCCAGTACGTTGATTATTGAGAATCTGAACTTACCGAGAACGCCTGTGGGCACGCCGTGAGCTTAGGCTAGACTAGTGCTGGACTGTATATACGGAGGGTTATGTGTACCTCAGCTCCGAAGTTTGACTCTGGTTTTCAGAGCCATGCACGTAGCACTAACCTGTCAAGAATCAAGCTTACCATGTCTTGATCATGCTTCCTTAGCTCAGTCGGTAGAGCGCGAGTCAAGAATTTGCGGAGCTCATTGAAGAAGATAATCTCGAGGTCGCAAGTTCGAACCTTGCAGGAAGCATAATGGTGGTCCAAAACATATTTTGATTTATTTATCAAAGCTTTATTTTGGCAAGCAATCCTTCTAAGTATAACATATGTAATTCATTGATGTTTGTTATAAACAATTCGTAGCATAACAATAAAGCACAAAAGCACAAACCGAAACCGAATCATAATAGAATAAAACAAGATCCATAATTAATTAAGTAAACTCATCAACCTCATTAACCATTAAGCACTCTTTAATAACATCTTTAACATCTTTTACACGCTCCTACACTCTCCTACACACTCCTCAACCCCTCTATCGCATTCGCAAGCCCACCCTCACACCTGCGCCAGCGGCTCGTACTCATACCCCGCCTTCCTGAGCCTCCCCCCACGCATCGAAAACACCCTCCTCACGCCCGGCCAGAACCGCCTCCCACTCCCACCTTTCCTCCCATCCTGCCTTTCCCCACTTTCTGCCCTTTCATCAACCACCCTTTCTCTTTCCCTCTCCCCCTCCTCCTTAGCTTACGAACGACTGTTCTTCGCTGGCTACACGGTTATAGCTCATCATGATCACGTGGGCGCATCTTCCAGCGCTTACCTCAGCGCTAGAAACAATTTTTTCTCCATAAACGTTTAGATCGTTTAGAGTTCGGTTTTGGTTTACAAGACATGTTCACTGTCGCGAGTCGGAGATTTCCCGCTCATACATCTTCATTCGTACATCCGCATCTCTCTGGTCTTGCTAGTCTTTCTGGTCCACATCCGCACGTTCCTCGGTTTTCTCAGTTCTCAGTTCTCTCTCATCCGCGCTCTCACCCACGTCTGCACCCGCAATTGCCTTCGAATGGGCTACCTGGGCCGCATCGAGTCCAAATACGCACGCTCGTTAACCGCTCGCTGACGAAGCCTGTTCCTCCGACAAGAGGTCAGTTTTGCTGTGTTTCTTTTGCTCAGCCTTGCTTTTACTCACTCATTTACTCACTCTTACTCTCCCTTACTCTCTCTTGTACTCTCTTGTACGCTTTTGCTCTTGCCTGCGTCACCCACTTCACCCTTTTACTCGCCTCATATTCACCCTTGTGCTCACGTACTCGCCCTTAACCTCACCCCAAATTCGCCTTGCCCAAGCAGTCGCAGAGGCCATCACGACGCCAAACGAATTCCTCAAAAAAATCGGACGGTCCTTGGACACGAAACTGACCTCGTTGCCTGATACCTGGGACGGGTTTTGGAGAATTTCGGGTTTGGAGATGCGGAGTGCGGGCGTTGGGGTTAAGGATCGCAGGTGGGTGGCTTTTGTCTCTAGAATTTTTATTGTTTTTATCTTCGTTGTTGTTATTTCGTTTCCGTGATGTTGTTTCATGTTGTGTTGGTTTCGCGTTGTGTCTTGTCTCGGGTTTTTGTTTTTTCCGTTTTTGTGTCGTTTCGTGTTGTTTCGCGGGTACGCTGGTATAGTGGTCTGATCTAAGAATCTTATAGGTACACACTGTGGTGCATGGCCAAGTTCCGACGAGGAATTCCTGTAGAAGAGTTTGCGCATGAGGAAAAGCCGAAGAAGACGGTTAGAGGGTGAGTGATTTTCGTTCGTTTTGAGCTCGAGTTTTATAACTAACGTCGCTACGACTCTGTAGTTGGGGCCCAGCGGTTCAAAACGGGAAACGGATACGTTCGAGACGGATAAAGGCTTAGAAACGGACGGAGGCTCAGAAACGGATAGAGGATCAGAAACGCAAGAACCGGAATTAATAGTAGCGTGAGTCGCAGTCTCAAATCCACTTCGAAATCGCTTGGGGCCAGTCAAAGGCGATCCTTTTCCCACCTCGCTGTCCCTCTTCGCTTTTTGTCAATTAAACTTACTGGTACGCAGTACTCTTTATTCTGTTCTAGATAATTAAAAAAAAGTTCATACAACTACAAATTAAACTGCTACACGAGAGATAAAACTCATAATCGAATAAAAAGCTTTCGAGTCAAAAAAAAAAGTAAAGTAACGAATCAGTTATTCTCGCCCACTCCCCAAGCAATAACGCCCACGCATTTGCCGTTCTCGTTCTGCAAATGCCTCTTCAACGCGTCTCTCCTGCTGAACGTCTGCAAACACCCGCCGACCCGCATGTGGTCGTGGAACAGATACATCTCCGCGTCGTCCCCGATCAGCTTTTTGGAATTAACGTCCCTCGCATGCTGATTGACCTCGTGCCTCGCCTCGATGCGAACGCCTTTGCACCACCAGCCCTGCGTCTGGTCGTCTTTGTCGGCGCGGAGGTGGGTTTTGAGGTGGCGCTGGAAGTCGGGCATGCGTTTGTTGGTTTGTATCCAGTTGCAGACGGGCAGATGAAGTCGCTGGCCTTGGGGCGGAGGGGGCGGCAGCGGCGGCGGCGGTGAATGCCTGGAGGAGGGCGGGGGAGGAGGATTGGGCGTTTCGGGAGCAGGGGTGCGGAGGGGGCGTTTGGCGTCGGAGGGGCTGGTCGGTTGGGTAGGCCGGGTAGGGGACTGTTGTTTAGTGCGAGCGTGAGTGCGGGTGCGGGTACGTGCGCGTTTACGCGGTATGGGTGTGTATTCGTCTTCGGAGGAGGAGAAGTCTGATGGAGTAGGGCGTTTACGGGATTTGGGGGATGGTGTGCGTTTAGTGGATGGGGAGGAGGCCTTGCGGGTGGGTGGGGTGTATTCGTCGTCGTCGACCTTGCGGGTGGATGGTATATATTCGTCGCCGTCGTCGTTGTCGTTGTCGGTTACAGGCTCGGCCTTTGGCATCGTCATAGCTGGGCTCAAGGCTCGGTGAGGAAGAGTAGGCGAAGGAAAGTGTTGTTCTGGAGCAGTATGAGCGTGAATGTGTGGAATAAAAGGCGTATCTTCTTTGACGAAATGACTGCGTGAAATATGAACAAAGAAATCAAGAGTTGTAGTCGAACAAAGACTTACGACGCGTCTGACTGCTGAGGTATGTCGGGTATATATTCGAGATCCGAGTCGCTAGAGTCGGAGTCGGAATCGGAATCAGAGGAGGAATCAGAGGAGGACGATTCGTCTTCGCTGTCGTTGTCTTCTTCGACCTCCATGTCTGCTTCCGCGTCAATATCTTCAGGCTCTGCCCTTTGCTGCACTTCGTTGTCCTCGTCATCCGACTCGCTATCGCTTATGGTGAACGGACTTCCAGCCAACAACGGTCGAGTCCTCTGTGGCGTACTCGAACGCGTCTTAGAACTCGAAATCTCCACGAACGCTGAACTCTTCTTTGTCGACGACAACTCCTCCTCATCCTCGAACTGCATAACGTGTTGTTGTAACATATCATCGAAAGTGTCCATCGCGACTGAGTCGTATTGTTGGATCGTATAGCACAGACTGGCCATAGAGTTTTTACGGAGAGACATGTTCGGCGGGCTGGTTAGTTGGGGAAGCGAAGGCATAATCCCCGGTCGTTAAATAACAATCATTGAAAAAAAGATCCCTTTCTTCGTTTGCACCCTTTCTTCTTTGAAAGCGCCTTTTTGCCAATTCACACATACATACATAAAACTGCACGGCTATCCCCAAAAGGAATGCCTTCTCCTTTCTTCTCTTTTATTTTATCTTGTTTATGTTATTTTATTTTATTTTCTGCCTCGTGGTTGCGCCGAAGAAAAACTCTGGACAAAGCAACGAACGACGTCGCTGGGACCAGCCCATGCGAAAACAACAAGACGGAAAAGACAAAGACCGTGAGAGTCAAATTTTCATCCGTTGCCGTAGTCTAATCCTGATATGCTTAAGCTTAAGCTTTTGGCTACGCTCGAGCTCGAGCCCGAGCGAGGTTGATTTGATTTTTGCCAAAAGGTCGATACATGTGCAAAGGTCAAGCGCTACGCAAAGAAACTAAAGGTCAAAGCCCCTTGGACGTTCAAATCAGTGGATCAGCGAATCGGCGAATCGGAAAAATACCTTGGGAAATCGATTTTCGGTGACTCGGAGGGAATGAGGTGGACACGAGGCGGAGGGTGCGTAGCTGCTAGCTATAGGTAGATTAATTAGTTGGATGTAAGATGATGGATGGATGGGATGATAGATATCATGTTCAACAAGCCAAGATAGACAGGCGCGTAAAAATGACTCGAGTGTACTTACATACAGAAAAAGGTATGGAGGTATGGATCATGACGCGTCGCGTTCGCGTTTATGTCGCGTTTATGATCCATCGATGATCTACGAGCCGCCGGCACCGAGCATTACTGCTGAACGCTGAGTGCTGAGTATTGAATATTGAGGCCTGAGGCCCGAAGCAGGACATCCGGCGCAGGGTGTACGATCAGGATTGTCAAGAATCGACACAACGGTCGAGCTGGTCACCGGTCAATGTCAAGTCAAAATTTGGAGTCAAGACATCCAAAAAAACGCTGCTAACCGCCTAGCTTGCCTGAGTCACTTCGGTTATCTTGTATTAAACTTTAAAAACCTACTTGGACCGCATTACATGTACTACTCCATTTCCGCAAGGCCTTGGAAGCTTGAGGGCTTGTAGACCGCAGAATTCCTGACGATGGTGCGAAATGATGATGACTGTTGAGGTTCAGGAACGTTCGTTGAGGGTTCTAGCCATGAGTCATGAGTCTGAAGTCCATTCATATGTTCATATCCCGCTGGCAAAATTGACTCGCCCTGGTTGAATTGATACCGTTAGAGTGGAAGAGAAAGGATGAGCGTGTTGTGAGCGTGTCTTTGTTCGCTGAAACTCGACAGTCGACAGTCGAGAATTCAGAGTACGGCAACAGCGTATCTTGATTTTCTGAAAAAGAATTTGTCGTAGTTGATCTTCTAGTGGATTGCTGTGGTAGTTCTAATGGGCTAGTAGGTCTGAGAAAGCGCTGCATTAGCGCCCAAGCCCACGAGTCAAAGCTGTACGTATCTTTCTACATTCAGATCCAGCTTTATTTTAGCTCACGAGCTCGAAGACATGGCGCATCGGAGTCCAGAGACGCCTATATAGTATTCCGTGGTTCCTTCAAGTTTTCATGGAAGGCTTGGACGAATACATAGATACTCGGAGTA